AAAAAGAATGAACAAAGCCCACCTTAATACCGCTGCTTGAAATGTAGATGAAACGTTTAACCACCAATTCTCCAGGTGAACGCCAAGAGAACGCAGAAGCGCGAGATGTGTTGAACGGTTTCGAATATTCTTGTAAACCAAATTTTCTTGTTTAAGACTTTAGATTGTCCAGCCGAGGGCCCTCATTAAATCTCCAAGTTTGATGTACGTGTAGCATTTGTGCTTTCTAGCACTGGTGACATAAGCAGGCTCGACAGGCTCGCGAGCACGGAACGACCGGAAGTCGCTTGGGACGCAGGAGGCAGCTCATGTTTGTAAACAGCAAAAGGGTCTATACAGGCTTCATTAAAGTCTCTTCTTTCATTGTAGAAACTCAACCAAAACGCCCCACAGCTTTCGTCCTCATGCTTTCAAGGAGGCAAGGTAAGTTGCATAGACATATTCTGAACAAACACAATGTAGTCAAGTTCTTACTTTGGTTGGCATCCTTCTAGGACAATTTATTTAAACAGTTCGAATTATTTCTGTCCCGAGTATAAACGTTCAAAAGTGCTAAATTACATTCAAAATTGTTGTTACACTGTGTTAGAAGCCCCTGGCAAGCATCGCCACAAATGTTGGGCCTCAGTCATCAACTGCTTTCAGAACTACCTGGCTATCCAGCACGGTAAGCCGACATTTGCACTTGCCTCTCAGTTTGCTCTGTATTGGTTGTGGAGTGTTATTGACTGTTCACTTTTCTCTCGGCACAGCAATCCCTGGCTCGTAGTGCCCCCCCAAACATTGGGCCTCAGTCGCCTACAGTCACGATTGGGGGCAAAACTGGTAGGCTTCCCAGCATGGTAAGGAAACAGTTGCACTTGTCTGTCGGCTCCCTTTGTGTGGTGCACTGTTGGTGACTGTTTGTTTTTCTCAATGCACATCAGTCCCCAGCACGAAGCCCTTGCGCAACAACTGCTAGGACACAGACGCCAACAGTTGCGCTCACTCAGCTACGCAGGGTGGTAAGCAGACTTTTGCATTTGCCTCTCAGCTTGTCCTGTATAGTGCGGTATCAATGACTTCGCTTCTTGACACAACAGTCCCCAGCAAGCACTGCTGCTGCAAATGGGCGACGGACGCCAACAGTCACGGTGGGGGGAAGAACCCCTACGCTATCCAGCACAGTAAGCAGACAGTCGCAATTACTTCTCAGCTCGCCCTGTGTTGCCCAGTGTCTGCGACTGTCCGTATCTCCCTCAAAACAGCAGTCCTTGGCATGCACTCCTGCCACAGACAAGCCTCACTCACCAACATTTACGACTGGAGGGGGAGTGTCCAGCACGGTAAACAGACAGTTGCAATTGCTTGCCGGCATGCGCTGCGCTGTGCAGTGTTAATGGCTCTGCTTTTCTTTTGCCACGGCAGCCTACGGAATGCACCCCTGCCCCAAACGGTGGGCCTCAAGTGACGACATTCACGATTGTGGGAGGAACTGGTAGGGTACCCGGCACGGTAAGAAGACAGTTGTGCTGACTTGTTGGCTCCCAATATGCCGTCCAGTGTTGATAAATGTTCACTTTTCTTTCTGCACATCAGTTCCCGGTACGCACTCCTGCCACAGGGGTTGGACCCCAATCGACCGTATCTACGATTATGGGGGGAAATTGTAGGCTACCCAGCACAGTAAGGAAACAGTTGCGCTGACTTATTGACTCCCTCTGCATTGTTCGGTGTTGATAACTGTCTGCTTTTCTCCCTGCCCAGCAGTCCCCAGCAGGCCCTTCTGCAACAAGTATCGGGCAACAGACACCACCTGTTGCAGGAGTCGCTCCGCTACCCAAAGTAGTAAGCAGACTTTTGCACTTGCCTCTCAGCTTGTTCTGTACAGTGCGGTATCAGTGACTTTGCTTCTTTCTTGACACAACAGTCCCCAGCAAGCACTGCTGCTGCAAATGGGCCACGGACGCCAACAGTCACGGTGGGGGAAGGAACCTCCACGCTATCCAGCACAGTAAGCAGACAGTCGCGATTGCTTGTCGATTCACCTTGTGTTGTCCAGTGTCAGCGACTGTTCACATCCCCCTTAAAACAGCGGTCCCTGGCACGGACTTCTGCGACAGACAATTAACTTCAGCCTCATCAGCTGTTTGAATCAGTTAGCACAACTGAATTCAATTTATGTAGAATTTTCCTTCATATGGCGATTTCAGTGATGTGATTGGCCTAAGGCGTTTTGGAGCAGCCAAAACCATGTTTTGGAGCAGCGAAAGTGGCCCAATTCTCCTTAGTCACTCAGTCGACCCGCCCCAATCTCAGTTCCCGTCTTCTTTCTCCTTCACTTTCTTATCGTAGCACTCTCCCCCCTTCACTAAAAAAAGAAACAAAAGTGGTAATCTCTTTTAAAAATACAGTTAATGTGATCTTGATCATAGTCCGTCTGCAAAATATGTTCTCATTCTTTACGGAACTTGGCGCGCTCGTGGGATGTATAGCTTGAGATGTGATACATGCTCAGGAAAACAGCGGCGTGTGCTGGGAGGTCGTCCATCAGTGAGGTTCTCGAGGTAGGTGGCACGCCCAACCCGTTCCAAGATTCTATAAGGCCCTCGGCCTTATCGAACCCAAGGTCTGTCTCTCGGCAGACCTTGCGGTCTACCAAGAGACAGACCGCAAGGTCCGTTTCGCCAGAACTTTATCTCCAGTTTGAAACTCGTGCACATTATGGATACCGGCCTCTGACATATTGCCAGTCTCTTCCTGACTTCGCCGAATGGCGTCCCGTGCCTGTCTATGAATTTCATCAAGAGAAGCATGTTGAGTGTCCCTGCAATATTGTGTCCCGTTCACCCCCAGCCTTGTCTCAATAGGCAGCGTCACGTCATGACCATATAAGAATCTGAACGGTACTTCCTTCGTGGTTTCTTGCTGTGATGTGTTAAGTGCGAACATGGCGTGTGGGACAAAGTTATCCCAATTAATATGCGTGGAGTTTACATATTCAGACAAGATATCTGTAAGTGTACGGTTGTTCCTCTCAACTAGATTGTTCGTTTGAGAATGGTACACGGATGTCGGAGAAGGTCGTATGCCATGTCTCGCCGGACAGTTTCTAAAATGGTGAGACATCAACGGTGTACCATGGTCTGAAATTATTGCGCGTGGCGGGCCATGTCTGAGAACAATGTAGACATCAATAAACTCTTCTAGGAAATTTGCAGTAGCATTTGGCACCGCTAGGGCCTCTACCCATTTGGTTAAGTAGGCAACTGCGACTATGACATAACGATTTCTGCTCCGAGACTTCGGAAAAGGTCTGAGAAAGTCAATTCCAATTAGCTCAAACTTAGTAGTAGATGTCTCCCGGAACTGGCAGTGTTCGCATGTCTGAACGTCTTGAACGACGTCGCTCCTCAGTCACTCAGTCCAGCCTTCCCATTCTCAGTTCCCGTCATCGTCTTTCTCTTTCACTTTCTTATCGTAGCAATATATATGTACCCGCTACAGGTAAATAAGAAACAAACTCCAGATATTAAAATCCGAAAATGACCAGCTTAGTAGTAAATATAACAGCATTAGCTTGACTAGTAATATAATAAATGGAAGCAGACTCGGACTGATAAAACACGTAACTACTGCCGTCCGTACAATGCAAAATTCTCATGCGAGCGGAGATGGCTGTTCGATCTAAACCATGCCACTCCACTCCGTCGCCAACATGGTTCCCAAAATTGTATGCAAAATGTAACTGACCAGCATACGACAAAAAACAGTCCAGCGGCACGTGCTTGCAAGGCCGGCAGGCGAGGTATACAATCTAAACACACGAAAAAACAACCTCAGCGCATCGATGCAAGACACCGTGAGCCAGGGTCAAAACGTCCTTGGGGCGCTGAACTGAACTCGGAACAAACAAGCGCGCTGTGCTGGTTCAGCGTGCAGACATTGCCTTCTTTGCTTTAGCTCACTTCACTAACTTTCTTTCGCGGCAGATTTTTCGCGTACCGGGATCCGTCTTGAAAGAAAGCCTACCGAGAGAAACCTAGGTAATCAATACTTTGACACAGCAGTCTTTGAGCTAGAGAGATTTCCGTAGTACCGTATTAAAGAAGAACAGGAATGTTGATGAACATGCGGCAGTCCTTACGTTTCAGTTTAGAAAGCGGCATATTTGCAGCGACGTGGGGACGGCAACACCCGACGTTGCGCGACGACGGTGACTGGCAAGCAGGGACCACATATGCTTTGGCCACGGCCGTTGCTTTTAGAAGCGAGTGCTTCAGCCCGTAAACTTAACTTCAACCGCGCAAAAACATGGTTTCGTTTAACAGCATGACTGCATGGCTGGTTCCCAGCACGCTAGCGTCGGAGAGTCCACACACGCCCAAGTCTATCATTGAAAAAATTAAAAACAAAACAAAAAAACGCAAGACAAGAGGTGGCGGGAAAAGCCATGCAAGGGAACTGGATGAGCGATTGATGGATGGTACTTTGAGTCGGGCAGCTGCTTGCACCACCTAGCTCATGTGTGCTCAAGTTTAGTTTTGTTTTTCAAAGGCGACCAAAATTGGTCCTTTGGCGCAGGCTTGGCAAAATTTAGCAGGGTTAGCCTTTTGGCGTAATTGGCGCGCAATCACATCACTGCGATTTGCATGAATACCCCTTCTCAAAAACAAGTGAGACGTTGATGAAAATATTTGACATCAGAAGTTCCTGTCTTCTCTACAAATTTATGCATGTGAGAGATGTACCCTGTTCACCGGGTTTGAGCAGAAACAAGTGGAATTTGTGTAGCTTACCATTGTAGTTTGGCCTTCAAGTTTTGAGCAGGTAATGTATTGCCCAACTAGGTTTTAATGTACTGAGCACTGAAGCAACAGCATGAGTTACTATTCTTTGTAAGTAGTATGTGTGGTCTCACTGTGTCCATTCAGGTAACAACGAAGAGCCCAGACGCCGAGCAAGCAGCTGACCACGACTACTGCACGAAGGAGCCATCTAAAGCTGCAGTTTCGCTAACGATGTCAAACGCTGACATTCAGTTTTACACGGGCATTTCAAGGGATGCATTTTTGTCTCTAGTCGAAATGGTATCCCTAATGACAACAGCCAACTCACGAATCCCTCTTGAGGATCAACTACTCCTCTCTCTAATGCGGCTACGTCTGGGCCTCCTTTATGGTGATCTCGCCAGGCGATTTTCCATATCTGTTACTCGCATTTGTGCTATCTTCGATAAGATACTTGGAATCTTAAAAAAGATTATGACGTTTATCGTGGTCTGGCTGCCACGTGTACGCAATCAGAGCACCATGCCAGCATCTTTTGTAGAGAATGGCTATGGCAGGACAACGTGTATCTTCGATTGCGCAGAGCTCACCTTGCAGAGGCCACGGAAGTTAATGGCCCGTGCGCAAACGTACAGTGCATATAAGGCTGCGAACACTTTAAAATTTCTTACTGTGATTGCACCTAATAAGCATCTCATGTATGTTTCTGATGTTTACGGAGGGAGAGCCTCTGATAAGCACATCGTTCGGACCTGCGGGGTTGAGGACTTCCTACAGAGAGGAGACGAAATCATGGCTGATCGAGGCTTTGCACTCGAAGCTCACTTGGAGGCCAGGGGGATCAAGTTGAATGTGCCTGCATTCACGAGGGGTATGGTAAATTGGCTGTTTCGAAAAAGCTACTTTTATGTTGTGAAATGCTGGGGATACTACATGACAACTAATTTCAATCATCTAAATTTGGATGTGCTATTTCAACACTAACTTACCTCAATTTCAGGAGTGCTTGCATCATGTACTGAAAGAGCATTTATGCTTCATAACTGTTCAATTCCTGCTTATATGTGAATTGATGTAACATTTCTTGTTTGTATTTATATGTATTCTGTGTTGTAGCTTACAAGTGCACCAATACGTCGGCTCCAGACGTTATTGGGCATTTAAAATAGACAAGTACAAATAAGCTGATAAATCATACAAATGTGTAGCATGGACCAGTTAAACTTTTAAATTAAATTTTGCTGTTATAACCATGCGTAATGGGGTATAATATTTGTAAGGAATTAGCAACAATAACCTTTATGCAGCCAAGATATTTTTGGAAAACAGTGCATCCTCGAAGATTTCACCATTAACCCCATTTTTTTCCCATGTGCAGTCTGGCTGTTCTACGAGTGGATACTTCAAAGACTGTAATTGAAAATGGTGCATAAGCATTGCATGAGAACGCTTTGTAGAAAGCATGCCACAATTTCCTTGCATGATCAACAGATGCTGGGTTTAATGAGTAGCTACACAGGTAAAGCACTTATTCCTGCAGACATCGGAAGACATTCAAACCTCCTATAAATGGCCTTTGGGCATCCGAGGAACATATCTGTTGGGATTAAAGTGTTGCCTGTATGCAGGCAGCAAGAATGACAGGAAAGCTCATTGGCATAAAACTATGCCAACATATTTAGTTATGTTTAAGTCGGCACAGGTTTTTTTATCCCCCTTCCAGTTTTGTGTGGTACTCGTTGGATAGACGAAATTGGTGGTGGGTTCTGCTCAGTTGGTGGTTTTCTCATTTGGTGTACCTCGCTTGTATGAGAAGAGTGGGAAGAGATGCAGTGGCGTACTCCTACCAGACTTTGTAACTATCAATATTTACTTTTTTCTTTCAGGAAAGCCCCAACTGTCAGAGACTGAGGTGACAAAGACTCGACGTATTGCGTCTGTGCGGATCCACGTGGAAAGGGCCATTAACCGCATCAAAACGTATCGTATTTTTAAGTCTGCTTTGCCCATAGCATCTCGCAAAACTATTAACGACATGGTTTTTGTGTGTGCTGGTCTGTGTAACTTGAAAGCACCACTTATCGCACACCAAAATGATGCGGTCTACCACAGTGCCAGCTAACATGAGAGGCTGATTCAATAAGTTCAAAGTCAAATGCAGAACTTCCTGAGCACCACCTCATGTAGCATGTAGTAGGACGGCTTCTTGTCGACTATCATCGTTATCGCTTCTGCCAAGCAGCATTACTGTCTCGTTGCAGTGCCATACTAAAGAAGCAGGTGTGGTGTTTCCTTGAAGACAATTTGTGAGATAGGTCTGACATTTTCCACTGGTTCCCTTTTATCATCAAGACTGACGTTTGGTTTTCTGGGAACATCAACTTTGTTTCTGAAACCAACTTGTTTGCTGCTTTCTTTGAATGACCCAAGCGTTCATTGTTTTTGCAGAGTTGCCTCCTCCTTGTCGGTCACTCCGATTGACTCCAGTCTCCAGATCCGTTCCAAGCAGTTCATAGTTTCAGATTCCACCACCAATGTTCTCAGGGCTGTCGTCTGCATGCAATGTGCGTCATGAAGCATTGCCTCTCCCAAGGTCTGGGATAATCCGTTCCAAGGTGTTCTTGTCTGCTCCGAGCTTTTCCTCGAATGGTTTGAATTTTCCTGTCACAAGGTCCCAGTGATGCTCCAAGCCGATAAGAAGCTGAACGTTGCTTCGTGTCTTGTTGCAAGCGTGATAATCCACGCTAAGTTCATCGCCCGAGTCAAGGTCAGGGGCAACATTCTAAATTGAGGACGTAGACCGCACAGGCTGGCCCAGTCAGGCGTCGTCTTTGTCGTCTTTTTATTTACTATGGTGGCGCCCTTTTGTGTACAGCGCCAGCGTCGGAAGGAATTGGATACTTCCTCTTGCTGATGGCTGACACGCTGACACCGGTATCCAACTCGCATGCTTAATGTCACTCCGTTGACGGCAACTTCGACACGCATTGGCTCTGGTCTGGTCGCTTGAAGCACCCAAAGGTCGTACGCTGCCAGCTCGTCATCCACATTGTGGACAGGTCTCGATCCACTCCTCTGTCTTGCTTTTCCGTTTGAGATGTATTTGATCTGCACAGTTGTGCTAAATGCCCTCTCTGCTCACACTTGAAAGAGATGCTGCCCACGTGACGACACTGGTGTGCTAGATGATTACCCCCGCAGCGGAAGCAAGAACCACTTGCCTGCTGTCTGGTCGGCTTAGTCTCTACAACATTTGCACACTCCCAGACCTGCACAGGCGTCGCTTCAGCCAGCCGAGCACATAATTTCACATCGTTTCGGTAGCATCCGCCACCGAAACGATGTGAATTTGCAGTCGCCGGCAAGCTTCTTAAGCGATACGATGTAATCGTTGGCCGGCTCTTCGTCCCGCCGATATCGAGAAAAAATAACTTGGAGCTCGCCACCACCTACGATACCTTCGGCGAGTAGTGCTTGTTCAAAGCTTCGAACATCACAGCCAATGTTGTATCGGCAGGCTTCGTAGGGGCGTGCAGGCTCTGCAGCAGCGAGTAAGTTTCTGACCCGCAGCACGTCGGAAACATGGCAGTCCTCATCGTTGCGGCGATGTCGTTCGCGGCAAAGTATAATTCCACGTGTTTGTGATACTCGGTCCAGTCCGACGTAGCAGAGTTGAACGGTTCCACCTTCCCAATGGCAGGCATGGCTGCTGGAGTTGATGCGGGACAAACAGATAAGACGTGCGCGTCCATTCTGTATCGCTCGTTGCCAGTTGTGATAATCCATGCCAGGCACATCGCCTGAATCATTGTCAGGGACAATGTTCCAAATTGAAGACATAGACCGCACTGACTGGCTTAGTCAGGCATAATCTTTGTTGTCTTTTTATTTACCACCGCGGTTGTGCCCTTCTGTGCACAGTGCCAGATATCACTGAGTCATGTCGGCTAGCTTCATTTTACCAAGGAATTTCTTGAAGCAAGGATCGGGATCTTCTGATCGGAGATCAGGTCCGTTTCCAGTACTTTGAGGTGGTACAGAGCGCGATGCTGTTAGCGCGAACAAGCTTTCGCCGGTTTTTCCAGTTTTTCTCTTTGAAACCAAGAGATGTCATCCAAGTTATGGTTGCTACGAAAAGAGCTAATTTAGTTCTATAATGTAAGCGATAAAATTTCGTGATCGCAAATACTATTTAGAAGTAAAATGCAAAAATGCGCCGATGTTGTTTCCGCGCTAACAGTGTCGCGATGTGTACATATCATAGTTTTGGGCCGTTAGGAGCACCAGTACCCTGTTAAGCACTCATTCTGATTGGTGTCCACTAAACAATCTGACAATCAGTCTCTCCTGTCCCAATATTTGCAACTTGAGTTTTTCGGACTCATTCTTTGTAATAAATGATTGCTCTCTCCCTCTGTCAAAGATAACGCGGCCAAATGTTGCATGGGCTTCTCTAGCACACCAGGTTGTTCCAGCCTGAAGCTTAATGACTGTCCTGGAAGCTTATCTGCTGTGAAATCACTGCAGCGTACCCTTCAAAGGGACACTGAACTTGTGAAAAACATAATTTGTTTACTGACGGGACGGGAGAGGTACGGCACAAAATGAATTATTGTTGAAAAGGATTGTTTTTGTCCTTTTTTACCACATTTGAGATGCAAACATATTTTGAGTTTTAGGAGTGGAACCGATATTTACTTATTTCCAACTTTGCACCAATGTAATTCCCAAGTGCGCCATAGCATCTCATTGGTGTACATATGTTGTTTTCAGTCCTGTACCATTATTTTTATCCACTTGTTCTAGAGCAAATAAATTATGTTTCTGGGGAAAATAAATATTTATTTGGACTGTTGTCTTTAAATATGTCACATAACTAGGAGAACTGTCAGTTGTGAATGAATGGAAGAGGAAGCACAGTCTCGGACACCCCAACATTTTTCGTGATGCAGTTATAGACCTTGTGCTGAAGGCATTGTTGGAAGTCGCCTAATGAGGCTTGGTACTCGTTCCCCGTCTGTGTGCATGGCTTTTATTGACTGAGCTGTCTGGCATGGCTGCCACTGCAGACACCCTGAGATTCGTGTACGGTCTGGTACCGTGCAATAGACTGAGCATGACCATGCACAACTGATTAGGAATGTGGTGCAGATGGACAAGAGAAGTACGAGCCACACTTTTATATGAAAGTTTTTGTCTCTCCTGTGTATTACTTGTAAAAACATGAATGTCCTGTATGGATAAAGAACACTTCTTTCCTAGGAATTGCCGATAACATACTGTCTCCCTAGTAGTTCCTTTCTAGAGCATGCTCAAAACTGGTTTTCCATATTGCTGGCTACTCAACTACTCAACAGCAAGGTCACACAAAGCAATTGATTTATTTTCACAAGCCATCACTTGATGATGTGGGTTGCAGAAACGAAAGGCGTACATACTTTTAAGGCATAGAGGCTTACATGCTGACAGCACCACAAGGTGTACAATATATATGAACAAATAGTATAGAACTTAACTTAGCCAAACCGAAATTCAAGAGCAAATTGGGGGCAAATAAGGGGTGGGCTAACCTTCTATGTGCGACCGGAAAAAGAAAAACATTGTGGGAGCAAGGCCAGTTACAGACTTCTAAACAAGTTTTTATTTGTGGTCAGGTTGGTGAACCTAGCTATTTCTGACTTTCATGATGCTATGTTCACTCAATGGGTTGTGAAACCTCTTATTGCAGCAAAGACCAACTTAACCACCAATAACTAGTTTCCAGTCAACATTACTCCCTACCTCTCCCCACAGCTTACCCCATTCCTGTGCAGGTCACCATACTGAACAGTGCAATTTCTAGACATGGGCTTTCTTTCGGCGTTTTAGACAAGGGGTAGGGCATCTCTCGGAATAATACGGCATTCAACAAAAAACACAGTGTTACAAGTAAAGTCAACTTTTAGGCAGCGAGAAATTAATTGGACCCAACAAAAAAAAGAACTTGCACATACCTACTTAATACTTTGCGTGAAGCAGCTCTCGCAGATTTGGTTGCCAAATGAGAAAGATGCTATTCGAGTTCATAAGTCAATTTTTTCATTCACCACAAACTGGGGCAAACATGCATAGTATGCGGACTATAGTACCGAAAATATGGTAGTACACATTGGGATGCATATATGCTGTTACATTACATTTGTGTCAACCACCTGTAGTCTGAGGACAGTTGGTGCGAACCATTCCTGTACTTCTCTTCGAGGTATGGCAACATTGAAGAAAAGAAAAACTTCGTCAGGCGAGCCATGTTCTGCATGATGAACATCTCATTGAAATTCACTGTGAATGATGCTACAGAGCAGGGTGACCATACGTA